AGTGTATTGCACGGCCTGCGATTTAACCAAGAAAACATGAAGAAACATATCCGCACTGGCTTCATCTTACACTCAGCAAACTATAGCCCAAGGTAGTGTGTCTCAATAACAAAAGAAAGCAAAAGGGAGGGAAGACAGGATAGGAATTTCGGGAAAAAATTAGTTCTTTAATCTTCTTTAAGGTTAGAGCACATCTAGATCGTGTTTCTGCCTGTTGTAAAATTTAGGCAAAAATGAACCTGCCAAAATGACAGTTTGCCAAGGCCAGTCTCATTTGTTTCTGGTGGGACAGATGCTATGAGGAGATCTCTTTTATTGGCCCTGTGAAGATCCAGTTCACCTGAGGTCACTAAAACAGAACCCATTCAAACACGGTGGCATTTGCCTTTATAGGAATAATAGTCTCTTAAATTGAAATTATTGACATGAAAATGAAACATTCTTATTGACTGAATCATAGTATTGTGGTTGAGAAAGATGGAGTTGGACACAGTGGGCTTGCAATGGCATGCTTAAGAAATGCTTTTCTAAAATAAATAAAATGGAAAATTACCTATGAATGGAAGAAGGTATGTTTAGATAAGAAGGCCACAAAAGTTCCTTAGCACAGAAAGGTTCACACAAATAGGAAGGTCCATTTGATCTTCATCTAAAAGGCTAAAACGGGTGTTGACCCAGACTCCACAGGCTGCTGCCCTGAAAATCATATATAGCTTTGGCTCAGGCATCTGGCTGTTTTGTCATCTGTTCATGTTGTGCTGTCTTCTCATTGAGCATATATCATTCTTTGGAATGAAAGATAGCATCACATGAACACAGGCCCAGAATCGAAAATCAAAACCTCTCCATTCTTGGCTCAAGCTAAAGGTGATATCAACACAATGAACAATAGCTACCCAACACCCAAATAGTTTTAATTAAAAAAAGTTACAATGGCAATAACATGATTCAAAGATGTATTTATTTTAAATTCATGGCTCTCTGAATACTTGTTTCGATTAGTCAGTCTTGCCATTCTGTGTTTAAACATGTATGAGAAATCTTCTCAGAGAGCAAACTAATATCTATATATATATATATATATATATATATATATA